TTTTTCCTGGGAGTGTGTGGACAAATACGATGGGCCTTGGCAGGGGAACTGGTTTATAAAATGGGTTTATCAGCTTTTTCTTGCAAGGGTGTGGACAAATACGACGGGCAGGGGGAAGTTTATAAAATGAGGTGTTCCAACCTCTGCGCTTTGGGTCGTTTTTTTCCACTGTGGTTGTCTCCAACAAAGTCTAAAGCCATTGGGGTTTGCATGGGTCTACCACACTTTAAAGAACCAGCTCTGAACTAGCACTGTAATGGCTATAGGCCCCCCTGTTGGTAAACCAACTCAGAACAATGAACGTCAACCATTATCAAAAAACATGGAAGCACCTGTGCAATTTAAGACAAGTGATAGCAACCGAATGCAATCATCTCAACAAACTGGCAAGCAAAAAGTGTGAAAAAAACAATGCCAGTGGAAAACACTGCAAAAGAAAAGATGCTCATTTTTCATTGTGTTGAGTGTGATTCTTGTTCAAACACAGCTAACAGAAACTATTCCTGCACACTCTCCCCACAAGACCAAGTTGTTTTTATTGTTGTGTTTAAAGTGTTTGGTATCATTTGATGCTCAAGATATGCAAAGATGCTTGTTTTCACTCTAGGGCAGAAGATACCACTCTACTCTAACATGGGGCCTGGGTTTTGGTTTTCCCAATTTTTTAGGTAAATGCTTCAGTGGTAGCCCCTCTCCATATAAACACATATACATAATCTATTCCTGCTCTCTCTCTCTCTCTCTATATGAACAAATTTATTATGTATTCCTGAATCAGGTTGATTTTATTGTTTTAGAACCAGCAAGCAGTCATTCAGATGGTTTTGAACAAAATAATTAGGAAAGAAGCAGGCCATAAAAGTGTCTCTAGATCTCTGCTTATAGTTATGTTTAGATTTGGAAAGATGTTATATAGACGCTTTTGTGTTACAAAAGATTCTTTATAGATCTCTGCAGATAATCATTTTTAGATTTAAGCAACTATATAGAAACCTTGTATTTTGAAAGCTTTGTTCTAGATTTCTGCGGGTAAGAGCTTGTATTTTCAAAGTTTTCCTCTGCCCTCTGGATCTCTGGGAAAGTAGATATCCCATATATATATATATGTGTGTTTTCATGAAATGAAAGCTCTTGAAAGAAAACCATATTTATTGATATATAGCATGTTTAAATTGACATGACCATTTCCAGAGATCCAGAGGAAAGCTTTTGAAATGAACGCTTTTGTATATTATTGTAGAAATGGTCATCCCCAGAGATCTAGAGGGAAGCTCTTGAATTAGAAGCTTGTACATAAAACATGTTTAATATGTTTATTATACTAATGTTTAATATTGGAAATAATTTCCAGTGATTACTGTAAATAAACAAAATCTATATAACTATTTACTGCAAAAAGGAGTTTTAGTCTTGTTCCCAGCGCTCCCAGGGCAAAAAAATACTGTAAAACACGGGGTTTTGTAGCATGTGCTTTCTTAAACTAAATAGACTAGAGCTAGAATAGACCTAGGTAGAATTAAATTGGATTTGAGTTAAAACCGAATTTCAACTAAACTTGTATTGAACTAAAACTATAACCTATTTAAAAATAGATGAGAGTTGAATTAGAAAGGAATTGGAATTACAATTAGAAGTTCGCCAGAATAAGATGTAAAACACTTGAGCTACAAGATGCACAAGTCGAGGAGGCTTCGAAATTACAAAGCCGAAGCAAAAGCAACAAGCATGAAATTAGAACTACAGCTTACACAGATTCATAACAGTTTCATGTAAATTGGAAGGTATCATTACAGTTTCATGTCAAGCTGATTGTACATGCAATTGGCAGCCACATTGATACCAATCAGAAGTTAATGCACAGACTTGTACATGGAGATTTCGACAAGGACAAAGGGAGTGGTGGGCTCAGACGCTTTCATTGTAAGAGCAAAGAACATATGCCTTTAGGTGAGACTTAGGCTCACATACTTGAAGGTTAAACGAAATAGCAAGAACACAGAATGATCTATATTAATAGGAAAACCAAAACAAAAAACCTTAAGAAAACCAATAACAACCTAGGAAAAGCAAAAAAAAACACATGGGAAAACCAAAAAACAAAAGAAAAACAATTCTGGGGAAGTCTTGAGGAAAGGGGGGGTCCAGCCAAGAGTCTTTGAGAATTGTTTTGTTTTTGTTGTTTTTGGTTTTGTTTCCCAAGGTTGTTTTGTGTGTGTTTTTTATGTTTTTTGGGTGTGTGTTTTTTGTTTTATTTGCTTGTTTTCTATATTTTCTCGAGACTGTTTGTGTTTGTTTTCCAGTGTAAGGGACATTGAGGCAGCTTTCACCGACACATAGCATGAATGCAGGCCACAGTGGGAAGTTTATAGCACATAGATGGAAGTAGGCAGCAAAAAAACCTTTCTCTGCCAAGGCCCATCGTATTGGACCACACCTTCTCAGTAAAAAGCTGACAAAGTCATTTTATAAACCATTTCCCCTGCCAAAGACAAAGCACAACTTGTGAAAATGTGGCACATGGTGATTGTTCAGGTTTTGATCAGCGCACAAAATCAAGTCAAAATGTTCAATGAACATTTTTTTGGCAGTTATTTTTCCCACTGGCATGGTTGTTTTTCTCACACGTTTTTGCTTGCAAGTTTGTTGAAATGATTGCATTCTGTTGCTATCACTTATCTTAAATTGCACAGGTGCTCCCATGTTTTTGATAATAACGTTGACCTTCATTCTTTTGAGATGCTTTGAGTCTGATTCTTCTTCAGACAGAGTTAAAAGAAACTAGTCCTGCATAGGGTTTACCTACAGGGAGCCTGAAGCCACTATATTGCTATATCAGAGCTGGTTCCTTGAAGTGTAGTAGACCCATGCAGACCCTAATGATGTCATGTAACGGAAACATGGTTGTAGACCCAGCATTGTCATGGAACCACCCCCAGTGGAAAAAATGCACCAAACCCTGGAGGTTGGAACACATCATTTTATAAACCTCACCCTGCCCATCGTATTTGTCCACACCCTCTCGGATCTTCAGGGTCACCGCTACATGGAAAGCCATTTAAAGGTAAAACTGTGTTTGCGGATTTTCTGGTGATGTTCTCTTGGCTGTCTCGACATGATATTCGAAGGTCGGCTTCATATAAATCACCAGCCTGAGGGTTTCCACTTTATAAATGATTTTTCTTTATGAAATCAAATCCCTCACGGCAGTACCCTCCACAAGGGAGATCTTGGGTTGTTTCTTTTTGGGCAGTTTAGGCATCAGATGAATGTGCTTCAGCAGCGCATCGATTTTTGCCACGCGGCTCTTGACTATCTCCTCAAAACATTCCCAGCAGCGATAGTTTTGGCGCCCACAGGGCCGACTTCGGCGAATCATCTTCCAAATGTGACCGGTCATGCAACAGACATCAATTCGGAGCCCCCAGGGCTGTGTTTAGCTGAAGACCAGTGGATGAAGGAGGGTGTGACAACCGTGATGATCCAAAACCTTCCTCCCAATATGACCCCAAAGGGGTTGTTCCAAGAGATATTGGCGCGTGGTTTCCACGCGCAAATTGACTTCGTGCATGTGCCCTTCCACGACAGTGCCAATGGCTTTGGTTTTGTGAACTTCACTCGACCAGATCAGGCAGTGAAATTTCGAAACCTTTTCGATGGGCAGCAACTAGTTCACCTAGATGAGTGTACAGGCAAAGTGTTTAAACGTATGAAAGTTCGTGTCCGTCGAGCTGCTCTACAAGGCTATGATGCGAATGTGGCCCGCATCCAAAAGACAAAAACAGGGTTCGACCCAACACATAGCCCTTTGATTTTTCTGCATTTGAGCCAGAAGTGAATGAAGGATTTGTACAGAAAGTGGCCAACATATTTTTTAGAAACTCGTCGAGAAGACTCAATCGTTGGTCCGCCATTTGCATGCGTTTTGCCGCTCGGATCACTCAGTGGCCAACTTTCACCATGTACGCTCTTGCGCATGGCACCCAATCTAATCGAAACACGCAGGATGGTTTGGTGAGGTTTTCTGGGCCAGAGGTTTTTAATTTTGAGAACAAGAGCAAACTAATGACAAGCAGAACTCAGAAAAATATGCGATTATTTTGGGTAACCTTCACACCGAAGGTTGCGCTACTGATCAAAGTTCCGGTGGGCCGGTGCATGATGTGCACGTCAGAAACCTGACGGGAATTCGGTTGGGTGAGTGGCCGCGGGGTTCAATGTACCCCTGGACCTGGAGCAAGAGCATTCCCGGGTTTCGCGAGCACTCATTTTGGCATGATTCCATCTTCCAGAAGGCGCAAAATTGTCTTCGATGGTCGATCCGTCCGATCCTGACGGTTGGTTTCGGTGCATGGCATGGCGGTGATGTCGGTGGAAGATGAGACGCGCAGAGACGCGCAATTGAAAAGTATTTTCATCCAAAGCTTCCAGGACCACGCCGATTCGATCACGAACTCCCGTTTCAGGACTGTATCCCACGTGCCAATTTTGACACCTTCTTGTGGGCATTGGTGCGTCGCCCCAGCGGGGAATGTCCGCGCATCTTCGCGGAACGCCGCGTCTTCGGCAAAAAGGGCTTGGGGATATTTTGGGCATCTAGGAGCATGAAGCTACTAGAGGCTCCTGGCATCGCTACTGGAGCAAGAAGCTACCAGGGGCTCCTGGCCGTACTACTATAGGTGCAGCAAGGACGCTACTAGTAGCTTCTCCGCGGGATCCAAGAGGGTCTGGGTCTCCAATTGAACCACCCTACACCCCTGGGACGGGCCAACGGACGGATGGCCCTGGCAGGGCCTTGGGGCACGGTGCGTTGCCGCAGGTGTCCATCTTCCAGATCATGACCGGCCCGGGCGCTCACCAAATGCTTTGGCACTCGCATTCTGCGCGCATGTGGCAGGGCGGGCACGCCGTGGGTTGAGAAACCTCACGTCCAGATACTTCGAGGGGTTTCAAAGGGAAGTCGATGGGGTAAGGGTGCATAGGATTCATAGGATCCCAAAACCAGCGGCTTGGAAATACTGGTCAAGTGGTGAAGAAAGAGTCTTGGCCACCTGGTCAGGCAGCTGACAAGCAGAATGTGCTAAAAACTGGCTTGTTTACTTTGTGATTTGTTAACCATTTGTGATGGTCACAACTTATAAAACATGTGCATCCAACCAGCAGCACCCAGTTTGGATGATTTTGGGGGTGGTCAAAAAACACCACCCAAACTGGGTGCTGCCTGTGAGGTTCCTTTGAGTTTCACGTTTCACATGTCTATTTTGTTCAATCAGCAAATGGCACCACCAACTTCCATGTTGCACAAGTGCAGAAGTCTTGGAGGATACGATGTTTCTTTTTTTTAAGATGATGTTTATGTTTTTTCCATCACGCTGATGCTGATAATGTATCTTGCAGACTTATTATCGAAGTAGGCACCCGCATCTCCTGCGCAACCTGCCCTAATAACACTTTCCCTTCCAACGGTCATAAAGCTTCATCATTGAGTACTACACTGCCACGATCCATGACCCCTGCTTCCTCTTTTCGGCACGGTCGGTACACTGAGGTGAGAATTGGAATACGATCATGTATGCAGGGAGCTCAAGTTCAGTTCTTCAGGTTTTCTTTGGAGGTCGCTCCTGTCCCATCCGGTGAGTGGATGGGTCTCACCCAGTTGGGCACCTCCAGGCAGTGTCTACTCCGGACTGCTAGTTCAATGGCCTTAAAGGGTGTTTTTTGGAGCTAAGTCTGTAAATCGTTGGTGTCTTGGCCGGAAAACAACACGAACCTGGAGCCCGGCGAGCCGGGCGTCGGTTTAAACACGAACGCTGGGTCCCTTTGGTTGATTGATTCTTGCGGTCAAACCCATGGGTTGATTCGAGATTCGACCTGGAGCCAACCTGGATGGGTCGTGACCCACCGTACTTGGAGCCCAATCAGTCCACCATTTGGTACGCCAAAAGGTCGTGCTCGGTCGGGGTCGACCTCGCGTGTGCCATGACGAAGAGCCATGACCCAGAGTCAGAGCCAGTTTCGGGAGGTCAATGTGATGCAAATCAAAGGCGCGTGTGAATCATCGTCTCCCTGAAACTCACATGGAAGTGGAAAACCCTGCTTAGACCTAGAGGAACATGCTCTTCCAAGGAACCATTTGTTCGTTCCAGGGAGTGTGTTCTTTTCCGGGGAGTGGACTAGTCCACACACCAAAACGAGATGTCAGCCCCCGATGAGTCAGATGATTGTTTTGTTTCACCCATGTTCACTGGACCCCGCCTGGTTTTGCCATTCGTGGCACCGGTTTCACAACATTGTGATGATCATGGGTATCCCTGGTTTATCCCGGTTTGCGGGTTAATGATCGGTTAATGTGTATTTTGCTTGTGGGTGAATCCCCTTCTGCCATAAGAATCCTTGGACCCTCCGTAGCGGTCGGACATGGCCGGACCCGACCGAAACGCCGGGGGGAAAACGGACCCGAACCAAAGAGTTTGCATATTCTTACTTCCCAGACGCTCCAAACAGCTCTTGGTACCTCAAAACCCTAGGGATTCGAGACCCCAGACCCCTCCATAGGATTCGGGTCCGACCCTTCCATATGAGGGCCCAGGGTCGCGTCTGGGTTGAAAAAGCGTTGCTTTCGATCAACTTCGTTGGGTCTTCCCCATCAGTCCACGGAATATGTTCCTGGCGGTGCATCTTTTCTGCGAACCGGTCGCCTCAGGCGGCCTGTAGGTTCGGTCACTTGCTGACAAAAAGGTTCGGTCACTGGGAGGGTTCCTGGTATATACTGGACCAGGGGTCACAAGAAGGGGTGGTGTTTAGCCCCTAAGTGAGTGGATAATGGGCACCCCTATCCTCCGATAGGCACCCCTTTGTGACTCCTGGTAGATGGCCTTTCTTAACTATGTGTGGGTTGATGGACACAGGGACAACAAATATATATATATATATATAATGGATGTATATGGATGTTTTTTCCCCCAACGTGTTTCTCCAAAAAACTCCATGTATGGAGCATGATGGAATAGTTACCTACATTGACACCTTAAACCACCCCGATCTATGCTTTGGTGGAAGCTTGCTCAACAGATGGGCAGATCACGTCTATTTTTGGCAAAGGTCGGTGAGTCAAGGGATATGTGTGGCATTGTGGCTGGAATTCAAGCTGTAGGCAAAATTCCATACCGGGATTGTTATAGGGCATAGAAGGTTCCTTTTGCCTTGTCTGTTTAGATGTTGGGTCGGTTTTTGCGGATCATGGGTTCCAGCTTAGCTAGCACATGCTTAGCACGACTAGATCGGATGGTTCTGACAAGCAAAACTTGATACTTAAGCTCCCTGACTTCCACGTACTGGGCAGGATTGGTGACAGCGCAATCTCTGGTAACGCTGGCCGCCGTTTCGACCGTATCCGCCCCTAAGAGAGTGGATCAAAGTACGTGATCCATGTCATGCCCAGTAGGACCCAGGTCCAAACCTGGTTGACCTTACCTCCTGAAGCATCGGTTTGTTATGACCAACTCCAGTATTTCATGCGGTCTCTGAATTGTTAGAGGTGATCTTGTGTGATTCCCAGCTGTCAGAGGGTGGGGATCACCGGTTCCGGGGCTTTTTTTCTTCCTCGCGGATCGCTGGTGGCCCGAGGCTGGCATGAGGGCTCAAGGTTGGATCTTTGGTGCTTTCTTCGTGACCCTTGGCACGCTTCAACAGAGAGTTTGAAGAGGAACCGTTCTTTCAGGTTTTTGGCAGGTTCTTTTTTTTTCGTCCCCTAAAGGTCCAAAGACCTCCAAAGACCCTGTAAAGCCTGGTCATTTATTATATACCTCATTGAGTATTTGTTTAATGATCAACTCCGATAAAATGAGGTCTTTGACCTGTAGGGATCTGTAGGTTTGACATGCCTGGAGCAAATCCGCATGAGTCTTTCGGCCAACAATCTGTTTCGTTGGCACTGCTCGATAAGGATCTCAACAGTTGAGTTTCAAGGAAAAAAACTGGTTTTTGATGTATGTTCCATCCAATCAACCACCCAAAACGGAGGATTTTCAGCTGGACGGTTTTCTTCTGTTTTTTCTTGAACCGATGAGTAAGGCGACCGAGTAAGGGCTCCCGTCCAGTCGGCGGCTCGGACTTCGTGGAGCCCGTTAGACCCCAGATTAAGAGACCCTTGCGACACAGAAAACTCCACATGACAACGATTGATATAGGTTGATGATGATTGATGGTTTTTTGTCCACGGATCGAAACGGCCGAGAGTCAAACGACATTCGAATGGGTTTTTAGACACCTGCTGACGTTGGGTAAGGGGGATCAACGTTGAATGCCACTTCCTTCAAGAAAACGACCTAATTGCATCTAATTGCTTGAAGAATGGACAATGTCTCAAAGGTATAGGACATAATCTTAGCAGCCAATACTCACAATGACACCAACACTTAAATAGACTCATGCCGACTAAATCATGTAAATCCACTCTTCAAACAGCTGATCATGTCTTGGCACGCTTTCTATGTTTGTCTATCATTTTCTATCTATTTGGGGCTATATTGGGATGATTCAAACAGCTGATCATATCTTGGCATGCTTTCTAAAATGTTCTGCTTATTGGGGATACTGGGGCTATATTGGGATGATTTGGGATGATTCATATCTGGGCACACTCTCATGGGATTCATTCCTTCAGCGCCGCTTGACAGGTTGGGCTGATCATCTTTGGACAGATCCTCTTCCTGAGCTTGCGCGGGCCTCGGAGGGGCCTTCAGGATCTGAAAAACGAAGGTCAAGCCTTTGCAGCGGAGGAACGGATGGATGGATGAGGAGAGTGGAAATCATTGGTAAATCACAAGGCTTTTGATTCTTCCAGTCTGGAAGAGGCCCAGGATGCTGGACATGCGCATAGGCCGGACCCATAGGCCGGAGAATCCGAGAAATGGGAGACTCCGGAGGTGCGGAGGATGTGAAGAATGGAGGAAGACATGTTTACGAAAGGAATCCTGTTTGCACCCCGCACTGTAGGTCATGGACACTCCGAATCATCCATGCATTTTTCGGGTCGATGATTCGACACGTCCGCCAAATGGGGCGTGTGCGCACGGCCGGCGTCGCAACGCCTCTAACGCCATGCCATTCCACATTTGGAACGCCTGAGGTTTTTGTCCATGCTCCTGTCGAAATTCGATGAAGTGCAGGACGTTTCTTTGTGCGGAGAAACGTGATCGGCATTCACGGGTCACGGGTCGGCTTTGGCGGGTCAAACCATGGTTTTCCTATAGCACTAAGGGCACTTCTAAACGGATCCCAGTAGATGGAAAATATGACTTAAACGAGATGATCCAATATAGTTAAAAACACTGAAATCATATGGACGGCCTGCAAATTCGACATGTGAGTTTCAGGATCTAAATGTTTGAGCCGGTTTCCCATCCTACAATTATATAATTTGTCGATGTATTTGATGGTAGATCCTTGGAGATGCTGAGGCAAAGAACAATCGATGCTGCACGCATGTTGCCATGTTGCGCTTGCACACTTTCCTGCGAAACCCCAAGGGGTTCCAGGGTGTTCGTATGTTTTCATATGTTCTGCACTGCAAAACACACAAAAACAACACATGCACCTCATATGTTTCACATGTCGGGGTGGCTTGAAAGTCACCGCCACCGCCACCGTCCGACGTCCGAAGTTCAGCACCTGTTCCGCATTGAACTTCCAATCCTGGGTGTGTTGATTTCGTGCCAGCAGAAGGATGAAATGGAGCAGAAAGAGGCCGAGAAATTGAGCAAATCCAAGAAAGAAGTGGGGACGACCAGCAGCTTTCCTGAACGCCGACGCGCGCGGTGCGCGTGGTTGGATGCGGTTGTTCCTCGAGGGAGAGGTGTACTTTCAATAAGTGTGCATGCAAACAACAAGCAATGTACCAGCACAAGCTAGCTGTTTGGGGTGTGGTTGATTGACATCCCTTTACCTCTAGATTCTGAGCAGGTGGGAAACCTGGTGAGCAGAGGTGCTACCTCACCTGTGGGGGTGCCAAAACCATCCAAAACCCGGGTTTCCGCTTTCGCCACTTTCCCGGGTTTCTTCACGGGTCCAGTTCGGCTTGGACGCTTGCGTCACGAGTCACGAACAGCACCAGATTCGGCCCCTGCACATATCAGGAGGTCAGGTCTTGTCAGGTCCCAAACGGCCGCAAGAACGATCTCCTTCTGGTTCTGCGACTTGCGGCCAAAGGGTCTTAGGGATGTTTTGTGGGGGGATTCCAGGGAAGGATGGACAGATGTTCCTGGAAAAAGATGCCCATGCATAGCCCTTCTCTCTGAGCCAATTCCAAAATTCTCCCTTCCGGTCGCAGTTCCCTGAGCCACTCCATGCACGGAATCTTTGAGCTACAATGGACACCTCAAACCACCGTAGTCGTGTACCCAAATATGCCAGTACCATGAGTCGTATTTGGGTTTGTTGTGTTCGAGTAGAAGGAAACCCATGTTTCCGCGACCACGGAAGTTCTCAAGTGCGGAAGGGGCGCCCGTCGCCTTCGGGTGTCACGAAAGTCACGGGATGGTCTCCTTCGGATGCACGACACGGAGCATGGGTCGAATTCGACTGATTCGACTGTTACGTTCGTAGCGATGGACCTGTTGGCCTTTCCTACTTCCCTTACGCTTAGGGCCTCCGGATCTCCCGGTCCGGGAGGCGTCCCCCCAAAGTCCGGTCTTCTTCTTGGTCCAGGTGTTTCATGCGGAAGCAGGGTTTTTCACCTGGCTGTGTGGAGATCTGGAGGTCCAAGCTTGACTTACACTCCGACGAACACATCACATGGAAGTGGACAGCCTCCTGTTTGTAAAGGAAAGTAGACTTCTAAGGGGTCATTGTCCACTTCCATGTTAGTGAGTCAGAGTGTACAAGGAAGATCGGTCGTGTCACACCGAAGCTGGAAAAGACCCAGATGAGGGAGGGTCGAGGGTCAGCTTTGAAAAACTGCACCATGCAATCTTCCAACTGAAAGATTCATCTGAGACAAGGTGGCTATGGGTCAAATACCTGGCAAGACCTCAGGCAAGACATGGTGAGTGCCTTGAGGCAAGCCTGTGGGGAATTCAAGGAGCAACTGTGAGCAGCAGTTGTTCTGGGCCTACCATACCTCAGGGTCATAGTGTTTTGATGTGTTTTGGTTCTTCAGCTCTGGCCCTTGGAAAAACCATCCTTTCGTGGCCGCTCCCGTCACCGAGGCCTGCGCTCCCTGTTTCGTGCTCGGGGCTCGGTGGTGTTAGACACACGTGTCGTTTGCGTATGGTACCTACCCAACTGCGTGGGCTTTGAACCCATGCTTTGGGGCTTGAGAGGCTTGCTGCCCTGTTGAACCAGGTCTCGTGGTGTATTGGTCGAAAGGAATTCGAACGGGATCTGACTTTTGAGCGCTTTGGGGCGTTGGGACTGCCAGAAGCCCGTGGGATGAGCTATGAAGATATCATATCTATATCTAGCTAAAGGATGTGGTTGTGAAGGGACAACTTCCTGCGCCTGCGTAGCTGCTACTGTTTATTTTTAAAGGAAGTGTGTATTGCTGGGGCTTTTTCCTGGTATCACCCGGCTCCTTTGCTTGCTCAGTCGATGGTTGCCCATGTTCGTTGCCATTGCCTTCCATAATGATGTGTTTAGTTTTTGTAAGTTCTTGGGCCATGAAGTGGAGAGAAGAACTGATCCAGAAGGAGTGGTCAGTACTTCTTCCAACTTCAATGGATCACTTCAGGGCATGTTTGTTTTTTTTTCCTGGATACGGATACACTTCAGAACTCCCAAACAACCCACGTAGACGGGTCCTGTCCACACGTCAAGCTTGCCTTCTCATGCCTGCTCCGCTTGACCCGGCCCCCCAGGCGGCGAGCACCCTAAGGGTAGTGGCTGAGACCTGGCGTGAGGCGGTGCAGGAGAAGAAGGCAGTCCTCGACCGGTGGAGAAGAAGGGATGGACGTCCCAGTTGCTTCCGTTTTCAGGCGTTGACCCAACAAGAGGTGCTGAACATGGTGAAAGGTCATGGTTATCTCTCTAAATGGACATGTCGTTCGCAGCATCGGATTCCGAAGACACCCATTGGGTATACCCGTACCATACGCGATCACCCCTTTCCCGCCTTTCACCAGTGACATGATTTCGCTGGGATGGGCTCACCTGGTCGAATCATCTTCCACTTGGAGCCCACCCAGGAAGATAATTCTTGCAAGTTCTTTGTCTATGATAATCTCTCCAGCATGTGAGTTCCCTACCTGGATGCTTTGAGTCGACGGATGGATTGCTGCCGTAAACATGCCGTAAACGAGCCGTGAAGCAGCAAGTTGCAAGGGGATGACGCTTCCTTCCCATCTGATAACCATGTTTTTCAATTTTTTTCGTTGACTCTGGTCGTCGCGCCAGGTCTCGCCAGAAGAGGACGTCCTGCGGTGGTGGTGTCTCAACGAACCCGCCCCCTGAAGAGGGGCGCGGCGAATCCACTGCAGATGTGTTTGATATTTGGTTAGTGTTGGATTCGTTTCCCAGAGACTCCATTTATGACATATTACAGAGTATATAAGGTGGTTTTTGTGTAGGGGTCGGTCAATTATAGGCAATTCTATTCAATCTCACGAGTGTTGGGGGATCTGGGCCGGACGTAAGTCCCATGGCCGGACGTAAGGAACCAGGTGCAATTGGCACCGGACAGTTTTCGGATCGGCAGCTAAGGAACCAGGGTTTTTGGCTGGTCTACGGTGGAAGGCCTTTGGAACCACTGGTTAGCTGTATTACTTGGGAACTGAGTAGACTGGTTTAGCTCCGTTGAGCGTCGACCGTGTGCCGGAAGAGACCACGGTGAGCAGTACAGAGACCACGGTAGGGCCAATACTCGTAGGGCCAATCCATGCCTAGACATTGATCCCTGAAAGCACCCCAAGGTAGGTATTTATGATATTCTATACATGACATGCAACGTTTGGGATATCAGTAAAATAGCTAATTTCTCTCACTGGTCGGCGTCGGTGAACATTTGGTTTTGTCAGATGGTGGATCTCCCACTGACTGTCACTGACGAAACTTCGGCCTGCACGTTTGTTTGTTCCACAGGAACTTGGTCCGGGTCATTCCATGACAATTCCCGTCAGAGCAGAGAATGCTCAAGCTTAGCGAGTCCGGATCAGATCACTATTGGACTCCGTTATTAGTTGCATTTGGTGAAGATGTTCATAGAGGTGCAGGATAAGAGTGAAACTCTGAAAGATGCCCTCCCCGTAACTATTGTTTCTGAGCAGCTGACAGGACCTGATCTCGGCAGCTTTCAGAATCTACGTACTGGTAGAAGCAATTGGACTCATCAGTTAGCTTTGTGAACAGTAGGTTAGAGGCCATCGCTAGTAGGTTGGAGGCCATCGCTAGTAGGTTGGAGGTAGGTTGCAGGCCATTGCTATTAGGGTGGAGGCTCAGTGGGGATGACCGGTCATGACCTCCAACTCCTTGGTGGTGTCCGGCCATGGCTTGCGAAAGAGACAGCTGGTCGCCTGGTTCTCCGAGCGCCTCGGCCATGAAAGACACCACGACGTTTCTCGTTGTTGCGCGCCCAAAAGACGTGGCATTTACATTTTGCGGCATTAGAACATGTTGTTCTACGTCAACATCGGTGGTCGTCGTTCGAAACGCTTCTTATATACCGTATACCGTATACGTTCCTTAAAGCAGGAGGCCCCCAAGGGGTTGCTGTATGTTGTTGCGCGTGGACCTGAGGGTGGGTGGGGTTACGGTTCTAGACATCGGGAATCCCGCTCGCCAGAAGTTCGCACATGAATCTCCAGGATACACTCCCGAAAACTAACATAGACCCTGACATGGGTCCCATGGAAGGCTGTTTTCCTCTACCAACCAGGGGCTTTCTGGTTCCATGGGATCGTCTTCCAGGGTGTTATCTCCTTAAGCTGCACCCAGACCGCGACCCTGGACTCGAATCCTCTGGACGGGGTCGGACCCGAATCCTTTGGAGGGCTTTGGGGTCTCAAATCCTTATAGGTTTTGAGGGACCGAGGGCCGGGCTGTTGGGAGCGTTGGGGCAGCACCTCAGAAAGGCACCGACGGAATTACTCACCCCGTCGTCACCCACAGGAATGTCTGCGAGGCTGGAGGGCGGGAGGAGGGAGGGAGGGAGGGAGGGAGAGGGAGGGGCACAGCATGTGCGCGAAAACTTTGAGACTTTGAGGTTCTGGTCTCTCCAGCCAGGACACCCCGAAGGTCCAGGTAATGATCAAGGACGTGTTTTCTGGGAGAAAGCTGGATCGCAGAAAGACCACTTTGCAAAGACTAGTCTCCGATCCAATCAATCTCATGGGCCTTCACAGTCACGGTCCACTTGGTGATTGCGGACGGTTCCTATTGACTCGACATACTGGGCAGGCGTTTAGTGTTTGTTTTGCTGTTTGAATTTTGTGATTCCTTCTACCAGGTCATCCAATAGGTGTCCAATGGAGGTCCATAGGCAGTCGTAGAGTAGTCTATTGGACACCCATTGGATGACCCAGTGTAGAAGTCGCATATGATTCGATGGGGGGCCAGAGGGTCCAGACAGCACCTTAGCCGTCTCGGTGAAGAATCCCCTAGACTCGGCTCACCTGCTTGATTGGGCTTTATTTTAACCTTACTTCCTTTTACTCCTGTAGAGCTCCATTTGGGCTCCGGACCCCTAAGAATCCGTGGCCCTTCTCCGGAAGGGTTTGGTTCGGGGAGGGCCGCACAGATTCCAATCAATTTGTAATCTCCGTTTTGAACGTTTGAAGGGGCAAAGTACCGGAGTGGAGGCGCCAGGTGGCTTCAGGCGCTGGGCCTATTTCTCCGAGTTCCATGCTACTGCCAGGTGGCGCGTTGCCTCAAGCTGGAGACGCCAGGTGAGAAAAGCAGACCGGGTTTCCAGTGCTCTAGTGCGGAGCAGTGCGACATGGTCGGCATGGTATGGTCATGGGGAATTTCTTGGATGGCTTGGTGGTCACTTGGATGGTCATACCTGGCACCCTCGAAAGGACCTGGTCACCACGAATGGTCAACCTCTTAGGACCCAAGCGTCGGTCGTGACAAACGAAGTTTGTGTGGACCTGTTGGAGGATGCCGAAAGTTTTTTCATAATAGCCAAAAAAAGGAAACATAACAATATTACTATATATATAGTAAATATAATGATATATAGGAGTAGATAATGCATGCATTTAGACGCCCAGCAATGCGGTCAGATGTCGCCCTTGAAAGAAGGCTTCCACAAATGAGCTACGGCCAACCTCCCCAAATAAACTCTTTACAGTAGTGGGGATTACAACGAGGTTTTTGACCTGAGTTAGGACATATGGCCAACTAGGATCATGTTTGGATTGACTCAGTGCTGGGACACCATCCCAGACCTTCCATGTATGGACTATTGCTTGCATTCGGTTGGTTTTAAGATGTTGTAAGGGTCAATGTGGGCAATTATTCCACTCCCATGGATGATTGGGGCATTTGTCCTCAAATGTCCTCAAGCAATCGTCTCCAAGGAGACGGAGCATCGACATTGAGGACACGCTTCGACTTGACTGGACAAGAAGCCAGACCTGAACGAGGCAAAAACATCAAGCTTGTCCAGCAACCAACAGTCTTAGACTTGAGCAGTCAGCAACCACTACATCCAATGTGTTTTGTTGGGGGATCTTCCAACCACTGCGGAACTCAGAACCAGCACGTGAAAAACAACAAAAAACAAGAAGCACCAAAAAACAGACTTGGACGCGACATCAGCCACGCCCCCTTCTTTTCGTCGGTGCTTTAAGCTGTCGCCCACAGGCAGCTACCGGGTGGAACTCTTCTTGGAGAATGAGACCGAGGCTGGGCGATTGTCACCTGGCTCGACCAACCACCTGGGAGGGCCCCGTTTGAGACCCTCCGGGCACCTTCTCAGAAGGTACCCGAACTGACTCACTAACATGGAAGTGGAAAACCAGCTAATTGTACTATAGCGATGGCCTCCAACCCACTACACTCCCTGGAATCATCATGGTTACGTGGAAAACCAGCTGTTTGTAGAGGATTTTCAGGGTCTTCCAAGTGGCCCTGGCTCCATTTCCATGTGTTCGTCGGTCCGTGTACTTGGACCCCTACAGCCTACCGTGTCACCGTGTCTCACGGTGAAACCCGAGTGGTGAAGGCGGTGAAGGGTCTCATGTTCCGGGGCGGCATCGCGACGAGTTCGCGTTCGGACGCGACGAGTTGGGCGAAGCAAGGATCCGCAGGGGCATCCATAGGGATGGTGATGGTGTGACAGGGAAGAGCTGAGCGAGCGCCGTGTTCCGGCTGGGTTTGGAACCGTGAATTGGTGTGGAGATGATGTGTTTTTTGTTTCAAGAAGTGGTAGTAATATGCAGAAATCCCTAGGATTTCAACCACATATTCAGAAGGTGGTTGAGGTGGGTTTGAGGGTCTAAATACCTTCTGAGGATCTGGTTGGAGCCCTACTGTAAGGAATAGTACTCTTTCTCTCCACTCCTGGCACCATCGGAAAGTCTATTCCACTCATTTCGTTGATGTAGGCTTAACTTGTTTGCGGACCCTCAGGGTCCTCAACAGGGACCGAAACTGGCCGCGTTTCGGGCCCGCGTGTTCGGTGTTCCAGACCGATGGCGTTTGAAGCACCCACTGGGCGATGGGATGCATGGAACACGTCTCGTCCATCCAAAGTGGGAGACCCCTCTCAGTTCCACCCCCTGGCCAGGGCCAGGGTGTCTCCTTTTTTAGACTGCACACCTGCGGGTGCTGGTAGGAAGAGTTGGGTCAGTTCTGTTCACTCAGTTGAAGCTGCAGAACGGACTCTGGTCCAGCACGAAAAAGCTCCTAGTAGCTTCTTGCTCCTAGTAGTAAGGCCAGGAGACCCTAGTAGCGTCCTTCCTCCTAGTAGCGATGCCAGCAGCCCCTATTAGCTTCTTTTTTGCTTTCAGGTGGCTCTGCATCGCTTCAACCAGTGCTTTCCCCAGAGCCACGCGCGTTCGGATGGCCTAGTCTACCAGTCCATGGCGCGTTTCGAGTGGCCGGGCGACTGGTTGATCTTGGTTGTCTTCCTTTGACCGGAATATGGGGATGGGTCAAAACCTAGAGGCCCCTAGACCATGCGCTGGACAATCTTTTCTGATTGTTTGATTTGTGTCCTCTTTGTCTTCTCACTCCAGAGCGGGTGGGAAGGTCAGCCAGTTTCATCCTGACGGCGTAAAACCTAGAGCCCCTAAGACCATGTTGTAGAAGCCTTCCAGGTAGGTCAACCGGTCTGTATCCTGGTACCACGACCGCCATTTGACTATGACTAAAATCACTGTCCAGGGCTCCAACTACCGTTCGGGTGGGTGCCAGGGGGGTCAGTCCCCACCTTCTGAGGATATGGGCCAGGGGCCCTTGGGCCTTGTCGTCACGGGTTTCCGCTCACCAGAAAAGACACAAGCTCGGCTTTGAGTGTGTCAAGATGCGATTTCGGACCCCCCCAAAGTTGCTACCTGCCCCAACAGCAAGAGCCAAGTTTTGCTGTGGGGATCCTGTCCCACATCCTCAGAGGGATCGTTAGTTAGACCCCCTACTCACCCCAGCTGCCTTCGTTCTGCGGAGGTAGTTGGAGGTTCGTCCAGGTATTCGCTTTGCCCATCTCAGGCAGTCTTCCAGAGGTGCATCAAATTGACTAAGCACATGGCAAGATAGAAAATGCATAAATTTGAACACCCAGCCTAAGCTGACACAACACAGATCCATCACACATCCATACAGATCCAAACATCCATGACAGATTATATATGATATATATATAGAGATCTGCAATGATCTGCAGACCCAGGCTTGGCATCCCCTGATGATCAGCTTCAAAAGAGGTGCGCCTACTGGGCATGCCTGATCTTGGTGGTCTACATTCTACATCTTGTCAGATCTTGCTACAGGGCACCCTGTGGTGGTGAGGAGAAAAAGCACAAGTAATATCGGAGGATATCGGAGGGTCGTTTTGAATGTCCGCGGTAGATTCGCAAAGCTCCAAGCACAAGAAGGTGAAGAATAGTATGCAAACCCATGCTGAACAGACAACAAGATCAACAAGCTAGGACAGCAGAGCTCAAGCAAGCGCTTCATTGTGGGGCGAAGTGAAGGATTCTTGCCGCCTGACCACAGTATGTTCAACCCAAGAAACGCTGGATCCTTGAAGTGATCCCGGATCCCTTTCGGTGCCTCTCTTGGACTCCACCAGCTTCACCCTCCCTCATGGCTCGAAGTAGCTTGGACTTCATGGCTCGAAGTTGGCTGGAAGGGACTTGGCACCTGGTTGGTAATCCAAGGACCATAAAACCGTCTAACCGTCAGTCTTCATGTTTGGGATCCACCATGACATGGTGCTTGGAGCCCACAAAATCATCGAAGAACAACAAGCATATAGGTAGGAATTGGGTGGGAAGCACGGGGGGTTCATCAAGCCAAACTCCAAAACATGGAGGATCCTGAAAAAGAAGAAGGGACAAACACCAGCAGATCCCAGAGGTTCCACTACAAGTTTCAATTTGTACCTGGACCGTCCTGTCTGGGTGTCCTGTTTGGACATCTATAAGTAGTATATAGGGTAGTCCATTGAACACCCGGACAGGATGGTCCTGGTATGTGTTTTTTGGTACCAGTGGTGGTCGAGGGGTATAACTTGTACTAACAAAGAAGAATGGAAAGACACCAACAGTATGTCTTTCTGTTACATGGGGCCCGCCCTAGAACAGGACAGGCTTTGCCAGACCCGAATCCCACGTATAATGTCCTCATTTGGTTCAACAAACTATAGTCAATTTTGAAAGCAACACATCCTGAAGAGTATCCAATTCAGCCATTTCTGTTTCTCACCCATGATCCACGAATCATTCACATCTCACCCTGGTTCAAAAGGGGGAGACATCTCACCCCTTGCCGCCATGGCAGCACCGCTGGCAGCACCGCTGGTAGCACCGCTGGTGCTCGTCACCCCCACCCGGGAGCCGCCGATGCCCTCAGCCCTGCAGCGGCACCGAGCGATGCCGTTGCCGCACGAGCGCACGGACTCGACATGGGAGTCCGCGTCGGTGCCGTGGTTTTTCAATACACTCCCTGGAATCATCATGGTTACGTGGAAAACCACCTATTTGTACAGGTCAATGGTCTTCCGAAATCGGGGCCAGGCCATCCGCTTCCATGATTCCAGGCCCCTCAAAGACACTGAGCTGGATCTTGTAGACGTAGACATACGTAGACTCGACCTGCGCTTTCTGAGGTTGGTAACAAGTCGACCAGAACGCCAAGAGTTTTCTTTTTTTTTCAAAACCATACCCAGGACCCTCCAAGGGGTGTCTATTTATAGCCCCTTAGCTGTTAAGGGGGGTCCATTAACCACCCCTTGAAGGCCCCGGACCAAAGATCTTGCATGGATGGCATGCTTGGCATCTGAGGAGATCAAGAGTGTGCAACTCTCTCCTCGAGTGGATTCTCTCGCGGCCTATGGCCCGCTCTTCCGTGTTCCACATCTGGCAGTGCAGCCACTTCCATGGGTCTTGCCCATCCTGGCACCCCCAACGGGGCCTGCCACTGAGCTGCAGTTCAACAACTTTAGTTAAGCAGTTAAACCCAAAGAATATCAAATGCAATCATAGAAAGCCAGTATCTATTGGCTAGGTTTGTTGGGTGTAAAGTTGCGATAGTCTCACATCAGGCACTGATCAAACATTACAATACATTAGGGACCTTCGGTGTGGGGCTGCCCGCGGGGTGGCTATTCCCATGGACCTTCCAACAGGCGTTTCATGGTGACAGGTCCTAGAACCACCCGTTGGGTCCGGTCCTGGTATAGGTTTTGTCATAGAGCTAGTCCAAGACCAAAGACAAAGCTGGCTAAGCTGGGCAGCTTTAGTTCTAGGCAACTAATTGTATCCACTTCAAGAGGAATTATTCACGAACTACAGACTATGAGTTCAAAGGAATGCATTGTTACGAAAGCCTGCCTTCGTAGAAGGCGCCAGCGGAGTTGTGTTTGGCGAACGAAGTGAGTAGTTAGGGGGTCTGGGGGGGGTGGCCCGCAAAAGGTACACGTAAACTCGGCACATGCTGGGGGAGGAGGGTGCGTCGAGGGAAGGTTTTTTGAGGTTGTGTTGGAGGTGATTTTTGAGGGGTGGTGATGCAAGAAATGCAATTTGCATCATTTGCATCATCTGAATGGAAAGGTGTAGTTGGCACCTTGCCAGGTATAGAGACCCAGGGTAGCTATAGTGCAGCTACCAGGTATAGTACTTCAAGTTCCCTTTCCGTCAATGGCTCGATAACCTCTACACCTGCACAGCAATCCACAGCTTTGAAGCCTCATTCGCGCGATACCTGGGAACAGAATTGTAGCTACCCTG